AAAAAAAAAAAAAAAACGCATAAAGCAAAACTTAGGATAGGAATATCCCATATACACCCCCTCATAATGAAGCCCGATATGGTAGGAACATCCCCATAAAATGCTTATGCTTCTGCCTGTGCCCTTTTCGCGTCCCTGACTTGTATGGGTTCTTTTTACGGCTTCGTGGGCTTGAGGGCTTTTGCGCTTTTGGGGGACTTTCGGGTTTGATGGTGTAGGAGGTTTGAGTGTTTCCATCCTATCTTAAGTTGGGTTTCTTGTGTGGGGGGGGGGGGGGGGGGCAGGGGGTTAATGCTACACCTATACTACCAACACTGTTATTAGTATTGTTTTTTCTTCATGTTGAAAACTATCATGAGTACGAATATTAATGCCAATAGGTTCGGGTTTGAGTGTCTCGGGGTGAACGGTGTTCCGGGCTTCGGGTGGACAGTGTGACCCTAGAGAACTAACTCTTGTGAAGATGTTTTTACGGAAATCATGATAAGGATCCCTAAGAAGGTAGGTTACTTAGGGTTTATGTACCTTAACCCACCAGAACCCACTTTTTTGTAGGGTCCCCATAAAGTCCATACCACCGTAGGGCTTATAATAAGAACCACCAAAAAGTGGGTTTTGGTAGGTTAAAGTCGGGTCTGCTAAACTCTACTTGGACCCACGTTGTTCCCTCGAAGGTTGGACTCTAAACGTCTCGACCGATTTGTTCAAGCACACTTGGCTGGCATGCTCCAAGGCACGGATCAACCTTTAAGGGGGCTCTGAGAGCCAACCCTCTTCCCTTCACATCCTGCAACGAGGACAGCACTGTTGACGGTTTAGAGGTTCAAGGTTAAGGGCTTAGGGGCTTAGGGGCTCTAAATTCAACCCTAAGCCCTAAAGGATACGGGTTTAGGGGCTTAAGGGGTTCTAGCCCCAGCCCTAAGCGCTAAAGGGTAGGGGTTTACGGGCTTAGGGTTTCTAGACCCAACCCTAAGCCCTAAGCCCTAAACCCTAAACCCCAAACCCTAAACCCCTGAACTGCGCCCAGCGACCCGGCCGGTGTGCGGGCACACGGGCATGCACAGCTCGCCCCAGGTTCTGAGCTGCACCTCCCCAGGGTTTGTTTAGGGCTTAGGGTTTAGGGTCTAGGGTTTAGGGTTCAGGGTTTAGGGTTTAGGGTTTAAATAGGGTTGTCAGGAACTTCCCCCAGGGTTTGATTAGGGCTTAGGGTTTAGGGGGTTCCCTTGAAGGTTCCTATCAGGAATAGACTAAGCCCATAGGCCCCATAGTAGTTCCTTTTTGTGGCTTATATTTCGGATCCTATTAGGGAATCCCAAAAAGGAACTACTATGGGGCCTATGGGTAAGGATTATAGGGTTTAGTGGGTTCCCCCAAACCCCTTAACGTCCCGCCCCCGCTTGGCCCGTAGTTCGACTGATCCTTGAGGTTTTGCAGCACCAGTTTGGCAGTTTAGGGTTTAGGAGTTGAGGGGTTTGAATTTAGGAGCACCAGTTAGGCAGTTTAGGGTTTAGGAGTTTAGGGTTTAGGGGTGTGGGGTTTAGGAGTTTAGGGGTTTAGGGGTGTGGGGTTTAGGAGTTTGGGGTTTAGGAGTTTGGGGTTTAGGAGTTTGGGGTTTAGGAGTTTGGGGTTTAGGAGTTTGGGGTTTAGGGCTTGAGGGTTTGTAGGGTTTAGGGCTTATAATGTTTAGGGGTTTAGGGAGATTAGGGGGTTCAGGGTTTAGGGTTTACGGGTTTGGGAGTTTCAGTTTTCTAGAGGCCTCAAAAGAGACCTCAGCCTTTCTTGGATTCGATATCATCCTGCCCTACAAACCCCAGAACCCTGAACCCTAAACCCTGAAATGCAGGGGCCTTAAAAATTAGAAGAGGGTTGTGGGCCCCTTTATAGTTTATCTTTCATAAGGAACCCTAGCAGCAATGTTGGTAATTATTTGGGCTTCTATATAAACATAGTCTTCTGACGGTGTAACGGTGCAGAAGGGAACTGCTTCCTTTGGGTGTATAGGGCTTACAGTGTGTAGGTTTTGGGCGGGAGGCGTTAGGAAACCTTACAGCCCAAAGCTTTAAAACCCGAGGACCGGGGACCCTCAGAAGCTTAACGGTTTAGGGTTTAGGGTTTAGGGTTTAGGGTTTAGGGTTTAGGGTTTAGGGTTTCATCGGACACGGACGTGCCGAAAGCCTGTGCAGAGTCTGGGGGTCGAGGGCCTAGGGGTTCGGATGTGAAGTCTTTGGGGTTCGGGCTTGGAGCTGAGTGTGATATCCCTTAATTAAGGAATATACCTTAAAGTATAGTAGGACCCCTAATATGGTTTAAGGTATATGTGATCGGCTTCACAACTTGATGGTCCTCAGCATCGCCCGGGTGAGAACTCGTCGCTCGAAGCCCTCATCGTGGTTGCACTCGACACATATTGGCTTCAAAAGCCCAATGCTGTCTTCCTGGCTAAAGCAGTGCCAGAATCGACTGCTGTAGCCTCAGATGATCATCGCTGATACCATCACGGGATTTCGCAATTGTCTTCACTTTAGAATCCCTAAAGGCTATAAAGCAGGCTTATAACCCGAAAGGTTAGAGCTTAACAGCCCTGGAACATATATAAATATCCATCAAGTTTCGTTCCCTGTAGCTCTCCAATAAGAGTTCTTCCATGGCCTCAGCGGCAGTTCTTTCTGAGTTGCATTTGTGAGGTTTTAGGGTTTCGGGCTTTAGGGTTTAATTAGCTTATATTTTTTGGGGGGATCGGTTTCTGAGGGTTTAGGATTTCAGCCTAGCGACATGAACCCCGTGGACCCAAAGTAAAAGCAACATGTCTCAATGCCCCGCGGCGCTGAAACAACAGCGAAACTGAAATGTTATTCCTGCCAAAGAACTCAACGTTGCCATGGGCTCTCTCAGACCCCCCCCCCCCTAACGCGAAACTCTAAAACCTCAACCCCAAATCCCAAACCCTAAACCCTAAACCCCAAACCCCAAACCCTAAACCCTAAACCCCAAGCCCCTCAAGTCATCAAACATCTGATCTGCTGAAATAACTCGGGCACGAATCTGGCAACCCGAAGCCGTAAACTCGAAGCACGAAAGCCTTGAACCTTGGTGGTGTGGGGTTTAGGGCTTTGTGGTTTAGGTCTCAGGGGTTTAAGGCTTAGGGCTTAGACGTTTTGGTTTTATTCCCTGAACCCCTGAACCCCGAAACCCCAAACCTAAACCCCAAACCCTAAACCCCCAAACCGAACCAAGAAATGGAAGCCCTCAACACGAGCAGTTTTAGGATTTGGTGTAATATAACGGCTACATCCCGGAGTTCGGTTTAGGGTTTAGGGTTTAGGGTTTAGGGTTTAGGGTGTAGAGACCACTATATTGCTCCAAAGTAGACCCCGAAACCCGTTGCCCTAAACCCTCAACCCTATGAACCCTAAACCCTGCAAACACTAAACCCCTAAACCCTACAAGCCCTAAACCCTACAAACCCTCAGCCCTATGAACCCTAAACCCTACAAACCCTAAACCCTATAATCCCTACAACCCTATAAGCCCCAAACCCTATTAGCCCTAAACCCCAACACTCACGCTGAGATCTAAGGTAGAACCCATGGGCCCCTAGTATGGGCCCTAAACCCTGGGACCCTAATATACCTACTATATACCCTATATACACCCTTAAGGGATCCTAGAATCCCCTAAGGGCCCATGTTAGGGGCCCGTGGGTTCAACCTTAGATGAGATCAAGCCCCAACACTAAACCCTAAACCCTAAACCCTAAACTCTAAACCGCTGAGATCAAGCCACAGCAGGTATGGATCGCCAGAGCGGCGAAACCTGGCAGAGTCGGGCTTCGTAGGGTTTAGGGTTCAGGGTTTGGGGTTTCGGGTTTAGGGTTTAGGCTTTAGGGTATAGGGTTTAGGATTTAGGATTTAGGGTTTATGGTTTAGGATTTAGGGCTTAGGGTTTAGGGTCAAGTTTAGGCCTTACGAGGTGTTGATCTCAGGATTGATGGGGCTCTTTGGGGCTTTTCTGGGTCTAATAAAAACTCCACCGGAGAGACCCCTTAATGTAAGAAAGCAAATCACCCTTACAAGCATCCCATTAAACCCGTAAGCCCTAAGCCCGAAACCCTTAACCCCTGAGCCCTAAACCTTTAACCCCTGAGCCCTCATCCCAAAACCCTAAACCCCCAAAGCTTAAACCCTAAACCCTAAACCCTAAAACCCTAAACCCTAAAACCCTAAAACCCTAAAACCCTAAACCCTAAACCCTTTAAGTCAGTCCTATTAAAAACCCTACCCTACCGGAGCCACGGGCTTGGGAGTTTCGCGGCCCCGGAGCCCTCAACCCCAGCTGAGGGCCTCGGTGTAGCAGGGGTTTAGGGTTTAGGGTTTAGGGTTTAGGGTTTAGGGTTTAGGGTTCTCTCTACCCTCCCCTGTGCGACTCGCGACTTCTGCTGCACTTAAAAAGCAACTGGCAAAGATGTGCCAATCGGCCACTGCCTGTGCCTTCCGAAAGATTGCAGAAGCTCGCATCTCGGCTCTCTGCGCGGAGGAGGGTCGATGTGCCGTAGTGTTCCCTGTATCGTGCAAGTTCGTCTCCAGTCTTTGGCTTCTGACTCCATCTTCTGCACGGGTGGCTTAGGCACTGGGCCATCAGGTCTGCTCGCAACTTCAAAAAGTCGGTACACGTCACGGCGACGCACTGGTGGCTCGTCCTGGCTGAAACTGTGGGTTTCGGGGGCAGAAGCTTCCCATAAGATCAGCTAGCCTTCATCACTGGCCGCACCGCTGAATGGCATACACCGATTTTAGGGTTTGGGCTTTAGGGTTTGGGGTTTAGGGTGTAGGGCTTAGGGTTTACATTTGAGGTTTACGGTTGGGGGTTTAGGGTATAGGCTCTAGGGGGTTCGTGGTTTACTCTGTGCTCGGCAGGCCGCGGGCTAGCCAGCGGCATGCCCACCCCAGGACCACCCATACGCCACTCACCGAGAGTAAGGCCAGCCGGGTCAAAGCCAGCGAAGTGAATCGCCATGTTCAGGGTTTTGGGGTTTAGGGATTTAGGGGTTTAGGGGTTTGGAGGTGCAGGGGTTTAGGGATTTAAGGTTTCAGGGTTTAGGGGCTTAAGGTATTCAGGGTTTAGGGGCTTCAGGTTTCAGGGTTTAGGCTTCAGGGTGAGATCCAGGGAAGAACAGATTTCCGGAGTTCACGTTTGGGGACAACGAAGGGCTCTCCGCTCCGACCCTTGGAACATCCGCCACGCCGCTACGGCTTAGGCTTAGGGTTCCGAAGTGGTTTAAGTCCTCAGCCCTATCCCTAAACCCTAAACCCTAAACCCCTAAACTCTAAACCCTAAACCCCTAAACCCTAAACCCTTAACCCTTAACCCCTAAACCCCTAAACCCTATGCCCTACTTCGTAAAACGTAAGCTAAAGCCCGGATCCCGGCTATGGAGAAGAGCGACGCTGCGATCGTCTCCCGCAAGGTGGCGAAGGTCCGCATGTCGCGTTGTCCACGCCATGCGTGCTGAATGCAGCGAGCAGCCTGCAACAGTTTAGGGCTCAAGGTTAGGGTTTAGGGCTCAGGGGTTTGGATGTGGGTTGTCATGTTTAAGGCCTAGTAATTTAGGGCCTACGGCTTCGCGAAATGAGTGTCTTGGATTGTTGCAAGGCAACGTAGACTAGATTGCCATACCAGCACTAAGCAAGTATTCCGCCAAAGGAAACTCAAGTTTAGTTCCCCAACAAAGCGCCCAGTATCACTGCTGAATGCTAAGTAGTACTGTTGCTGTTGCTGATACTGATACTGTCACTGGTACTCTTGCTACTCCTAGCAGCTTCGACGACGAAGATGATCCTCAGAGCAACAACTGGGTAGTTCTTTAAACTAGGGTCCCTTTTGGGGTCCTTTTTATGAGGGTGCCGTACCATGTTGGGGATCTAAAGGGGGCCCTAATTTAGAGAGCTACCCAACTGTGCCTTGGTGTGCTGGAGGACCCCTGAAGACAGCAGGTCGAGAATGGAAGTTTCCGCAGAGGGGTCGATCGGCCTGTCTAGCTTCTCCATCATACGTAGTTCGTTGCGAACTCGCCATGTTCTTGCGAGGGCCAAGTCTAAGTGGTACTACGCGTCTCTGCTGCAAGGTTTAGGGTCTAGGGCTGAGGGCTTAGAGTTTAGGGGGGCATGTCGCCACATCGACTGCTTGGGTTCGCCAATCCTCGCTACATGCACTGGTGAAGGCCGCACGGCAAGGTCTGTTTCAAAAACCTGAAGCACTATCAGCCGCACTACGAGTTGCAAAGGGCCACCACATTCCTCGAACCTCGATCAATACCTAGCTGAACACCCGTAAACCCTAAACCCTAAACCCTAAACCCTAAACCCCCAAACCCCTAAACCCCTAAACCCTACACCCTTGAATCCCTGAGCCCCTCAAGTTTCAGGGGCTTGAGGGTTTAGGGTGTACCTGGACCCCAAAAAACCTACCTTTTTAGGGTTCCTTATTATGATTTCTTTATACAAGTCCTTAAAAACGTAGGTTATTTGGGGTTAAGGTAGGGCTTAGGGTCTTTAGGGTTTAGGGCTTCGGGGCTTTAGGGATTAGAGCTTAAGCTTTAGGCTGCAGGGTTTAAGGTTTAGGGCTTAGTAACTTAACAGCTTGGGGCTTAGGGGTTTGGGGGCTAGGGCTACATGGATACGCATTCCAGGGTTTCAGGGGATTGGGGGGTTAGAGGTGATATTAGGGTTTAGGGTTTAGGGTTTAGGGCTTGGGGTTTCGGGATTAGGAGTAAACCGCGGCAAGCCTCTGCCAGCTTCTTGGCGTACTGCACGAGCCCCTCCTATGCTGCTGCATGGTTCTGTTCCGGCATGGGGCGCTTGGCGATTTAGGGTTTAAGGCTCCAGATTTATGCTGGAAGGTTCAAGGTCAAGTGCGGGTGTTGTTGGCCGAATCTTCAAAGTCCTTTAGCTTTCAGGAGGGCGATGCCGATGGCGATGGCCGTGGCCGCGCCACGGTGAGGCTGACGCGATGGCGATGGCCAAGATGAGCATGGTGCACCCGATAACGGTGTTGACTGTGAAACGAAGGTGAAAAATCGTCATGAAGTTGGCGATGGGGCTGATCGTGTTGATGGCGGTAATGGAAGTGACGCCAGCCATGGTGATGGTGCGGATCATGCTCACGACGGCCGAGGTGACAATCATGACCATGATGACCACCAAGACCATGATTAACAACATGGCCATTACAGCCATGATGTACGCGAAGATGAAGATTTTGACGGGCATGACAGTTGCAAAGGCATGTCAACCTGCTCGATTCAAAAGCTACAGCCTTTGGCCATTAAACCAGATACATTCTGTGCTGCAACCCGCTGGTGTGTCAAACACTGGCACATGGAGCTTACCAGCAAATCACCTCATGTCTTCCACGCTGGGAATGTTATCTACCCACATTCTCGCTATACCGTGTTTGTGGTTGCTATCCAAGACCCGCAACACATTGGGCCTTTTTGCGATGGGTCCACCGAGGGTCCCTGGCCTTAAACCCCTGGACCCACAACCCCAGTACCGATTCGCGCCTGCTCTGCCGATCTTTGACTTGCATCTTGCTGGATCCTGACAACATGGCAATACACAGGCCTACATGAATGAGCCAAGGACGTTGGCGCATACTATAGTTCAATTATACAACGGTTATGAAGGGATCTTATTCCTGACGATGAAGACCTCTGTAAGTGGCTGGGCTTAGGATTTGGGGATCCATCTCGCGTGCCTTTGCACCAGAGATCTTAATACTGCGGGCTGTTTATGTTCTGCACGTGTAAGTTTTAGGGTTTGGAATTTCAAGCTAACAATGTTGTGCGGCCGGTGCGGCCGTCATGCGTAGACCGCCAATGGTTTAGGCAAACAATGCAATCATCACGAAAGAACTCCATCATTCCTTCAAGCTCATTCCATTCCGAGGAACGTCCATCATTATTTCTTTCCTTCCTTCCTTCATTCAATATCATGCATTTCAGTCTCCTCGTTTCGTTTCATCGCATTACATGTCGTTCAATTCATTCCTGCTTTCCTTCAGTTCTTCCTTCCTTCGTTCTTGATTCATTCATTTCCTGCCTTCCTTCCTTCCTGCCTTCAAGCCAGCCAACCTACCATCAGTTGAACCAGACGGCTTCAACACGTTTCAATACTCATTCTCGCCACACTTTCGCTTGCAAAATGCAGCAGTTCGATCGTCTCACACGAAGCTGCTTGAGAGTCTAGGTCTGTGTATCTTGTCAGAAGGCAGCAGAATGTGCAGTCATCGAAAGTTGAGCAGGCGCTCCAGCAAAGCAGACAAGGGGCCAGGGTGCCAATGCCTTCTGTAAACGAAAACCGAACAACTCGGCCTCTGCACAAGTGCGTGATATTCGCCATAAAGCCCAAGAACCCTGAGCCCTCAACCTTCAGCTCAGACAAACTTGAAGCATGGGCACGCTGAAAACATCGTCGGAAAGCTCCCAAAGCCGTAACCCCCATTCCCAAACTCTAAAAACCCTAAATCCCAAACCCGCAGAACCTGAAATCCCCTAAACCGGAAGCTCCAAATACCAAATCCGAAATTCCCAAAAACCCTCAATCCCCTAAACCCCAAGCCCCCGGAGAGCTGCCAGCTGCAAGTTGTTCCGCAAACTCGAAACACCTGAAACCAAACCATGGACATCACAAAGCCTGGAAGCCAAACCAAAAATCCCAAAATTCGGGATTTAGAATTTATGGTTTAGGATTTTTGTGTAAAGGGTTTAGGGTTTAGGGTGTTTTCAAAAGGTGTGGACTAGCACTGTCGTACCGCCTGCCGAAGCACACACACTTGGTGCGAGGGTGAAACAAACCATTCAGGGAAGCGTCACGATGTCGGCCCCGATGACACAGCCCATGCACATAGAAGCCGATTCCACACTTCACAAGCGCAAAGAGGATGCCACCAGCCAAACAAACATCATGATGTCACCCTTCAGAACGCCAGGACCAGAAACACAGCCATCACCCGCCCTAAACCCTAAAGCCCAAACTCGTCAACTCGCTCTTGTTCTTCAGGTCCAATCTCACCCGAGGAAGCATCTTCGAAGGTATAGTCGCACTCGTGATGTCCAGGAGGATCATGTGGCTCTTGTGGAAGAGTGGTTGAAGGCTTAAGGTTTGGGGTTCAGGGCCTAGGACGAGGGGTTCATGAAGGCTTCATAGGCTTTCTGTGAAGGGTTTCTCAAAGGGTTAGGCACCGTAATAGTGGTAGCATAGGGTTGTGGTGTATGTCTATGATCTAGATTTTTGGAGCTAATATAAGCCAGGGATAGCCGTTTCCACCCCAAAACCCTCACTGAACCACTCCAAAACGCTTCAGACACCGAGATCTCCGAATGCCTCAGCTGTTTCTGCAACAAAGGTGCTTTTGGGCGCTCTCCTAACCCGCAAAGCTATTAAATCCTACTAGACCTGCCAAACCTTGCTAAACCCCACCCAAACCCTACTATAGCCTACTCAACCCTACTAGACCTTAGCCCCTAAACCCCTAAGCCTTAACACACCAAACCCCGAAAGCTATAACATCCCTTAAGCCAGACCCTAAACCCAAAGCCCTAAACCTTCAACTCCTAAACCCTTAAACCCGAAACGTCCCTTGACCCGTACACATCCCTTAGCCCTTAGCCCCTAGACCTCCAATGGACCCCCTAAGCCTGAAACCCAAACCCCAAAGCCCAAGTTTAGGGCTTAGGGTTTCAGGGTTTAGGGTTTCGGGCTTAGGGCTTAGGGCTAAGGGTTTAGGGTTTGAAGGTCTAGCAATTCAAAACATCCGACAACCCTCGGCCAAGAAATGTAGACCCAAAGTAGTAGCAGGTTCTTAGGATTTTTTCGGATCCTGAATAAGATAACCTGAGGGTGTAGGGTTTAGGTGCTTAGGTCTTTAGGGTGATATAAGGCCTTAGGGTAACCCTAACCTTCGGGAACCCTAAACCCTTCCGAAGCTCCGTCCCACCTCCACTGCACTCGCCGCGCATAGCTTTGGTAGGCCTGCTGTATCTCGAAGGCAGCAACCTTACGGAGGAAGAAGCTGATAGCCGGACAGCTCTGCTTCGAGTTCGGGGTTGTGGGGTTTAGAGCTTTGGGGTTTAGGGCTTCGGGCTCGCAGAGTTTAGGGTTTGTAGGGTTTTTGTCCGAAGCCTCGGCCCCCAAAGCCTGAACCCTAAACCCTCAGCCCAAAGCCCTGCAGTAAGCCCTAAACCCTCAGCCCTCAGCCATGCAGGTAAGCCCTAAACCCTACCTTAACCCCAAATAACCTACCTTTTTAAGGACTTACATAAAGAAATCCTACTAGGGAACCCTAAAACGGTAGGTTCTTTGGGGTACAGGTAAACCCTAAACCATCCCTAAGTCCCAAGCCCAAGCACAAAAAGCCAGACTCCTCTCCTAAACCCTAAACCCTAAACCCTAAACCCTAAACCCTAAACCCCAAACCCTAAACCCTAAACCCTAATACCCTGCCCAGCAGCCTGGTAGAGCTTCAGGGGCATGTAGTCTCGGACCCGCCGAGCACGCCAAAGGTGGATCCGGGATCTCGGCTTTAGGGTG